TATCTATCTATCTATCTATCTATCTATCTATCTATCTATCTATCTATCTATCTATCTATCTATCTATCTATCTATCTATCTATCTATCTTATGGTGAGTTACAAAGTCACTCAGATGTTTAGACAGGATTTGGCATTTTTGTCCACCTATCAAGTTCAAAGGCCTGATCCAATCTGAGTCGGGGTTGGTCACCGGGACCAGAGGTTTTGTCTTCCAAGCTTTTGGACTCATGCTGGAGCCCATGCAGAGGGAGAAGTTCCCTGAGGATGGGCTCCAGCACGAGTCCAAAAGCTTGGAAACAAAAGCTCTGCTCTCGGTGACCGACCCTGATTGGATCCTGAAACATTATCCTGGGACACATATATTCGCCTTCATTGAGGACACTTGCTGTTCCAAGTGAAGCTGCCTTCTGCAATTGACTGATGGGGATTTTGTTAATGCCGACAGTGTTTTGGTAGTGCTCCAGATGATTGACAACACTTTTTTTTCCTACCAGGAAAGGCGAAATAGAACTGGAATTGGCAAAAATCTCCCTGGAGAGAGATTCACTGAGCCAACAGTTGCTACGTGTCATTCGACAGAAGATGGCACTTTCTCAGGAATTGGAAGCTTGGCAAGTGAGTCAGCAAATATCAGAACTATCAGGAAACATGTCCTAACTGTTAATCCATTTGCAAGCTGTGAACCATGTGTCAAGAATTGTAACAATCCCGATGCCCCCTTTTTAAAAATTCCCATTCAGCTACAGCTTTGTCTCCTTCAAGTCTATCTCCTTTCCAGATACCTCTTTAACATAACTGAATTGTGGGAATTTGCGTTCTTTTCCTACAGATAAAAATGATGGGATTTAAAAAGGGGAGCATGCAGGGAAGCAAATGCAAAAAAAAAAATTTACTGAAGAATATGGGTAGTCTTCTACTTATGACAGCAATTGAGCCCAAAATCTATGTTGCGTGAGACATTTGTTAAGTGAGCTTTGTCATATTTTATGCCACTGATGTTAAGTGATTCACTACAGTTAATAAGTTAGTAACATGGTTATTAAATGGATGCTGTGGCTCAGTGGCTAAGACGCTGAGCTTGTCGGTCAGAAAGGTCGGCATTTCGCCAGTTCAAATCCCTAGCGCCAGGAGTGAGCTCCTGTTAATTGTCCCAGCTTCTGCCAACCTAGCAGTTCGAAAGCATGTAAATATGCAAGTGGAAAAAATAGGAACCACCTTTGGCAGGAAGGGAACAGCATTCCATGCGCCTTATCCATGCCGGCCACATGACCACGGAGACATCTTCGGAGAGCGCTGGCTCTTCGGCTTTGAAATGGAGATGAGCACTGCCCCCTAGAGTCGGGAACGACTAGCGCGTATGTGCGAGGGAAACCTTTACCTTTAACATGGTTATTGAGTGATTGTGGTTTCCCCATTGACTTTGCTTGTCAGAAGGTCAGAAAAGGTGATTACGTGACCCCGGGACATTACAACCGTCATAAATATGAACCAGCTGCCAGGAGCCTGAATTCTGATCATGTGACCATGGAGATGCTACAATGGTTGGGTGGGAAATTATCATGTCACTTTTTTTGGTGCCATTGCAACTTTGAACAGTCACTAAATGAAAAGTTGCAACTCGAGGACTACCTGTGGTTAAAAATATATGAGTACATAGGAAGGGTTAAGAATGATATCCGTGCAAAATAAATAAATAAATAGAAAATAATAAAATGCAAGTGAGGTAGAAGTATAGGAGTTTAGAAATTTAGAAAATCACAGAAACAAACCAGGGAGGAGCTAAAATATTTTTTCTCTTCCTGTGTTGGATTTATGATACTGTACAGGTAGTCCTCAACTTACAACCACAATTGAGCCTAAAATTTCTGTTGCTAAGTGAGACATTTATTAAGTGAGTTTTGCCACATTTTATGACCTTTCTTGCCATAGTTGTTAAGTGAATCATTGCAATTGTTAAGTAACACAGTTGTTAAGTGAGTCTGAGTTCTCCATTGACTTTGCTTATTAGAAGGTCGCAAAAAAGGATCCTGTGATCCCGGCACATCACGACCGTCATAAAAATGAGTCAGTTGCCACGCGTCCGAATTTTGACCTTGTGACCCTGGGGAGGCTTCGAGAGTTGTACGTCTAAATAATGGCCATAAATCACTTTTTTCAGTGATGTTGTAACTTTGTACGGTCACTAAGTGAACTGTTGTAAATCGAGAACCAATGAAGGCACCTGGATGGTCTGGAGCTGGGGCCAGCAGAATAAAAACTGAGCAAACATTATTGATTGAGCTCTGGGTTGCAATTGTATGCCCCAATGTATGAGAAAAGGAAACGTCACTTTCAAAATGATGCAGCTCTATTATTGGGAACAAATTATGACATTCCATTTCCACAAAGCCAAAATGAAATTACAGTCATTCTTTTTTTGTCTTTGCTTTGAGCATTTGGGGCAAAAATACTTTCGAAGTGGGAGTCTCTGAGAGCAAAATTGTGCCTTTCATTCAAAATAACAGGCCATCCTCGACTTACAACCATTTGTTGAATGATCGTTCCAAGTTACAAAGGCACTGAAAAAAATGACCTAGAAGCAACCCTCAATCTTACAGGATAACCGTCACAGCATCCCCGCTGTCACATGACACACATTTGGGCACTCTGCAACCAGCATGTATTTATGTGAGGAAAGAGCTGTTGGAGTGCGGTGGTTAGAATGCAGTATTGCAGGCTAACTCTGCCGACTGACAGCTGTTCGATTCTGACTGGCTGAAGGTTGACTCTGCCTTCCATCTTTCCAAGGTCAGAGGAGTAAAAAGAGGACCAGATTGTTGAGGGGGAAACATTGACTCTGTAAACTGCTTAGAGAGAGCTATAAATCACAGTGAAGTGGTATATAAGTTTAAGTGCTATTGCTATTGCTAACTCTGCCTACTGCTAGGAGTTCAATCCTGACCAGCTCAAGGTTGACTCAGCCTTCCGTCCTTCCAAAATCAGTAAAATGAAGACCCAGATTGGGAGAAATAGGCTGACTCTGTAAACCCTTAGAGAGGGCTATAAAGCACTATGAAGCAGTATATAAGTCTACTGCTGGGGATATGTATGATTGTTGCACTGTCCCAGGGTCATGTGATTGCCATCTACAACCATTTCCCAGATGGTTTCTGGGAAACCATTTCTGACAAGCAAAATCTGGATTTGCTTAACGACTGCATGATTAATCTAAAAACTACATTTGAGTCACTGAACTGTGGCAAAAAATGTCATAAAACCTGACACAACTCACTTTTACAAAGTCCTTGCTTAGCAATGGAAATTCGGGTCCTAAATGTGGTTGTAAGTTGAAGACTATCTGTATTATAAGCAGATGAATCCTTTTAAATGAAGGTGGATTGGGACAGCATATCTGATACTCCTCCAGGGACACTCAAGAGAGGATTTCTGGATTCTATTTCACGTTGATCAGAATATCACCTTTTTTCTTTGCGGCTTACAGGATGATATTCAGTATATTATTCACCAGCAACTTCTCCAGAAACAGCGGGAAGAACGCCACTGCCTCACCCCACCACCAAAGCCACCGACACAAGGCAAGGGTCCTGAATTATTTCGCGCTGGTGCCAGCATGCCCAGTGGCACGGGCTTCTTCTCATTCTTCAGGAAAAGCTGAATTGTTGAAGGTGTGGAACTTCTAATATGGGTGAAGGCAGGAAAACGGGCAAAGGGAATACAAAGGCCAGACTGGATGATAAGAGACGCAATATAGAGCAGGGGTGTCAAACTCAAGGCCCAGGCACCAGATCCGGCCAGCGAGGTGCTTAAATCTGACCCCAGGGCCACCCAGGAAACAGCTCATTTTCTCTGGCAGAGCTCTTGGGCCACCACAGGGACCCCCAACACGGGTGACGTATAGCTGGCCACCCCCACCTAGTGGTGGGTTTCGGCAGCCGCTACTGCTGGTTTGCTCAGGGACGTGACATGCACACATGCGCAGTACAACAAAAATTGCAATGCAAAAACAAGATGGTGGCGCCTATGCGCCACTGGGAGAACCAGTTCAGGGCCATGGCTGACTTGGGTTGCTGCCAGTTCCAAAGACCCAGGCCGCCAAGCTACTACCAGGTTGGCCAAACTGGTCTGAACTGGTCGGGACCCATCACTGTCCCCACCCCGCTTCCCGAGGTCAAACACAACGCTAATGTGGCCCTCAATGAAATCAAGTTTGACACCCCTGATATAGAGGCTGTGAGGGACATCTTGTAAGGACAAGGGCTGAATGAATTCAAGAGCCTTTTAAGCAACTTTGAACTCAGCTAGGCCAAGAACTTGTTCTCTTATTCTGTGTCCAACTCTTTAAAATGTTGGAAAAAATGGGGTTGTGCTGTCAGCTGGAGAGTTAACAGCCTGGGTTCGAGACTCGAGCTCCGCACAAAGGGGTGAGCTCCCTTTACCTGCCTCAACTCCTACCCACCTACCATTTCGAAAGCATGCAAATGCAAGTAGATAAACAGGTACCATTTTGGTGGGAATGTAACATTGTTCCACGCACCTTTGGTATATGGCTATGCTGGCCGCATGACCACAGAAATTGTCTTCAGAGAATCCTGGGTCCAGGGGTGGCCTTCAAAAATTGCAGCAACGGGTTTGCTGCCCCTTTGCTGGGTGAGCATGCCTTGGTGGGTGTGGCCTAGTCGGCTTCCTGCACCATGGCAGGGGGGGGGGAACCTTCTTCCTCCGGAGGCTGGAAACAGGTCCGGTTCCGGAACCTCCAGTAGGCCACTTTTTCCCCCTCCCCGAGCCTCCGTGTGGCCCTGAACTTACTTGGTATGATGGACGGGCTGCATTGAGACGCCTGGGAGAGGTGGGGTGGGAGTGGCAGTGCGGGGTGGGTATGGCCAGCTAGGGGTGGCATTTGGGGATTCGCTGAACTGGGCAGAATCCTAGCTAGAGAATTGCCCAAAACCGTGTGAACCCCCATCAGCCCACCCCTGGCTGGCTTCCTCGGCCAAGAAACAGAGATGAGCACTGTGCTCTAGAGTCAGACATGACCGAGAGGGAAATCTTTGCCTTTTTTTGCTCCAGATGCTGCCCTCGATATTATGTTTGGTTGAATGCATCCCAGGATGCATTTGTAGAGGAATTCATACCAATAATGGCTCCAAAAATTCCTTTCCAAGCACCCATAACATAGGGGTAGATGTAGACCATTGTAAAAGAGACAGGAACTTCTTGGGCGTATGGTTAGCCATCCATACTTCCACCTTGGAGCATCTGTAGTTCTTCTTCAACCAAGGTTGGCAGCAAAGCAATTGGGTTCCTGGCCTTCCTCAGTTAGCAAGATCTGGTCATCTCAAGGCATGTTTGGAGCATCCCATTCAATCACAGCTTCAGGGTGGTGTCATTTGGTGATACATGAATTTCAGTCACACTGGGGCAGTTGGAGGTTTCATGTCTTGGAATCATCTAGTCCAAGGATGTCCAACTTTGGCAACTTTAAGACTTATGGGCTTCAACTCCCAGAATTCTCCAGCCAGCATGGCTGACTGAGGAATTCTGGGAGTTGAAGTTCCCCAGTCTTAAAGTTTCCAGAGTTGGACCTCCTGATTGAGCCTGCAACAATGCAGCCGGATGCTTTTCCGATATTCAGACTAATAATTCCCAGATGGCACAATTCAAATACTGCAGAAGACCATCCAAGAAGTAACTACAAGAGCTAGGTAGAATATACCAGTCTGAATCAAGGTCAAATCAAGTGGATGGCATCAGTTGGCCAATTGATTGAGCTGATTAAAGTCATGCAATTAAATGCAATTCTCTTTTAGTAGTTATACTGGATTGTAAAAACTAACATTGGGTCTGGTCTCTCTTTTAAAACACATCTAGGTTTCCAACATCAGTTCGCCAACCTCTGCTCCAAGTTCTAAGATCACCCTCTTCTGGTGAGTTGGAGACATGACTCATCTAAGTGATTCCAGAGTGGCAGCTCGAGACATCTACAGATCCCAGCGCCTGGCTTTTGATGGAATGGAACCAGAAACATGGCTTCTGATCCTTCACTTTTTCATAGAATCAAGATTGGTAGGAAGGGGCACATTAATCTCACATCCCTCCCTTGCAAGAAGAAATAGATTACAGATAGTCTTTGACTTTCAACCATTCATGTAGTGACATTTCAAAGTTGCAATGGCACTGAAAAAAGTGGCTTATGACCATTGTTCACATTATGACCATTGTAGCTTCCGCTTGGTCGCGAGATCGTATTTATGAAGGATGCTGTGTCCTAGAGTCATGTGATCACCTTTTGCGACCTTCTGATAAGCAAAGTCAATGGGAAGGCCAGATTCACTTAATAGCCATGTGCCTAACTTAACAACTGCAGTGATTCACTTAACAGCTGGCAAGGAACTTCGTAAAATAACAACTGACTTGCCTGGCAATGGAAATTTTGGTCTCAGTTGTAGTCCTAAGTCGAGAAAGTCTTGTAATGTTCACTTCTTTCAAGTGGGAGACAACTGCTGGCAAAACAGAAACATCCTAGAGGGGGAAATGAAAAAAATCAAGATGGCAGCTTCACTCTTGAATTTTTGACCCACATCCCACAGATACTCTCTAGCAAACCATGTCGCAGCAGACCCTATTTTACTTTTCTTGGTTTGAAAAAAAAGGTAATTGTCCCTTGGGTTGAACTCAGCTGCTAGTAGCTATGTAGACACATCTGTTTTCTGGGAAGTATTGGGTTAAGCCTCAACGTTCTCTCCTTGTCTTAAAGAGTGAATACCAAAGAATGTATCCAAGGATTTGATATTTTAATAGGATGGATAATGGAAAATAAAAGAGAATCTGAACCAGGTTCTTAAAATCCAGGCAGTCAGAGGACAAAAGTAATGAATGCAACACCTCTGGAAGTTTTTAAGAAGAGATTGGACAACCATTCCTCTGAAATGGACCAGAGTTTCCTACCTGAACAGGGGGTTGAACTAGAAGACCTCCAAGGTACCTTCCAAATCTAAAAAAAAAATATTTTGTCAATTCCACCTGAAATAGTGCACAGCAGCATGGGCATGAAAGTCTCCCTTCAAAATGCACCAGTATTATACTCTGTAATGCATTAGAGCAGAGGTCTTCAAACTTGACAACTTTAAAACTTGTGGGCTTCAACTCCCAGAATTCCCCAGCAGCATGGCTGGCTAAGGAATTCTGGGAATTGAAGTCCACAAGCCTTAAAATTGCCCAGTTTGGAGACTTCTGCATTAGGATATCCTCTTCAATAAGATCAACCTATGGCAGACTCCCACTGGCTGTATTGGGACTGTAAATCCTAGAATTCCTAACCATAATTGCCATATTCCTGGGAATTCTGGACACTGTAGCCCAGTATTTCTCAGCTTTGACAGCTTTTAAGATGTGTGGACTTCAACTCCCAGAATTCCTTAGCCAGTCATGCTGTAGTTGTAGTTCCACAATCTTAAAGTTACCAAAGTTGGGAAACACTGCTGTAGCCCCTACTCATTCAGAGAACATCAAATCGGGGAAGGCTGACTGAGATTTTCTCTATCACTTGGTTTTTTTAAAAATAAAGTATATATATTTGTGGCTTTTAAAAAATCTGCATATATTTCTACATATGAGTTTCAGTCATGTTGCAGAAACACCAGCAGGGGGCAGTAATGCTCCATCCTCTTCCTCCTCCCTTTTCTCTTCCTGTTGTATGCAAACAAGAAACAAGAAGATACTATTTTGCACATATAATTTCTATTGCTATTTAACATACAGAAGAATATATATTTTGGTTTCAATACCAAAGCTGACAGGCCTGATCCAGACAGAGATTTATTTATCTATGAAGAAGAAATTCTATATTGCTATAGAGTATTTTTGTTGTAAATTTGTTAATACAGATTTAATAAAGATTATTAACGTCACGCTTCTCTGACATTTAATGTCAAACTTCTCTGACACTTCTGTTGGAAACCGCGTTTTCAGGTGGAAAGTAAGCCTTCACAACATTGAGCAGTGATTTCTAGGAAACTGGATTCTTCAACAGATCAAGACAGAAACTAATCTAATAATATTCAGAAATCTGAGCAGAATTTATGACCAGACTTTATAACTCTGCTCATGCTTCAGTCACTTTACCATTCATAAGAGTTTGGACCTACGCTATATCTAGTCCAGCTGCCTCCACAATAGGGATGGGTTCCGGCAGTCAATACTGCCGGTTCGCTCGTGGCCACGCCTAGCACGCACGCTTGTCTATGTGCAGTGCAATAAAAATTGGTCTGTGCATGTACAGAAGCAAAAAACAAGATGCCACCCTCGTCAGAAATGGTTTGGGGGCATGGCAGACTTGGATTGCTGCCGGTTCCAGCGTGACCCGACAAAAGGGCGAACGACAAAACCGCGCCCGACTAAACCGCGTCGCTAAAACCGCGACGTCATCAATGCGCCGACAACAGCACGGCGACAACAGCGCGGAGATAGACGGGCGTTTTACAATAGCGCGTCGACAGAAAGCCGATTTAACTTAAGGTAAGGGTTAGGTTTAGGGTTAGGTTTAGCGTTAGGTTAAGGGTTAGGTTTAGGGTTAGGTTTAGCGTTACGTTTAGGTTTCGGGTTAGGGTTACGTTTAGGGTTAGGGTTAGGTTTAGCGTTACATTTAGGGTTAGGTTTAGTTTTACAGCACACTTCTGTCGCCGCGCTGTTGTCGCCGCGATTCAGTGCTCATTCGTCGGAGCGCTTTAGAACACACGGTTTTGTCAACGCGGTTTTGTTGTTCGCCCTTTTGTCAGTGAACCCGGTTCCAGCGACCCAGGCCGCCAAACTACTACCAGTTCGGCCGAACCAGTCCGAACCAGTAGGAACCCACCATTGCTCCAGAAGGATATGCAAAGCCATGTAGGTAGTCCTCAGAAGTGGTATTCAGCTGCTTCGGACCGGTTTACTTGAATCGGTAGAGTAGAATTGCAGGTGAGCCTGCTCACCCACTCCAGCTCCAAAATGTCTTATGTAGCCTTGTTTTTGATGCCGCATGCGTATGTGCATGTTGCACGCACGAGCAAAGCACATGCGTGGAAAGCTGCATGCATGCATGGGTGGAAGGCATGTGCGTGCGGTACGAGCATGCACTCGCAGTTGTGAACCTGTGGTAAACCTAAATGAATCCCATCACTGGTAGTCCTCAGTTTAAAACCATTTGTTTAGTAACCATTTGAAGTTACAATGGTTGAAGAAAGTGACATACTGCTGGTCCTCACACTTATGACTGACCCAGCATTCCCACAATCACATGATTGAAATTTGTGCGCTTGGCAACCAGCATGTGTTTACGATGGTTGCAGCATCTCAGGGTCCTGGAATCGTCATTTGCGAGTCAATGGGGGAAGCCAGATTCGCTTAATAACCTTATGATTAATTTAATAACTTCAGTGATTTGCTTAACAACCATAGGAAAAGGTTGCAAAATGGGGAGCAACTCACTTTATATCTCTCTTGCTTAGTCAGGGAAATTTTGGGTGCAATTATGTTCATAAGACCAGGACAACCTCTATACCAAGACGGCAAGCAAATACAACTCATTTTCCTCCTATTTTCCCCACAACAACAACTCTGTGAGGTCGGTTGGAATGAGAGTCAGTAACTGGTTTAAAGTCACCCAGTTGGCTTTCATGGTTAAGACTGGGAGCTGATCTCCTGTTTTCTATCTGAAGAACTGTGGGACTTAACTATGAAATCAATTCACTGCACTAACCGACATAACAGCTGCCCAGAGACACTCTGTGAATTGGGCATCTATAGACATTTGTTTATTAGGGATGCAGTGGCTCAGTGGCTAAGATGCTGAGCTTGTTGATCCGAAAGATCGGCAGTTCAGCGGTTCAAATCCCTAGCGCCACATAATGGAGTGAGCTCCCGTTACTTGTCCCAGCTTCTGCCAACCAAGCATTTCGAAAACACATAAAAATGCAAGTAGAAAAATAGGGACCACATTTGGTGGGAAGGTAACAGCGCTGAGTGTGCCTTCGGCCTTTAGTCATGCCGGCCACATGACCAACAGAGATTCTGTCTTCGGACAGTGCTGGCTCTTCGGCTTAGAAACGGAGATGAGCACTGCCCCCTAGAAAACGGAAACGACTAGCACCCATGTTCAGGGAAAACTTTACCTTATACGTCTGTTTAAAAAAATAAATAATAAACAAGCCAGTGAATCCTTCTGTTCTAACTGTATACCAGAGGTGGGGAACTATGCCGCCTTTATGACCTGTGGACTTCAACTCCCAGAATTCCTGAGCCATCATGGCTGCCTCAGGAATTCTGGAAATTGAAGTTCACAAGCCATAAAGGGCCATAGTGCCTCATCCTTATACCAGTGATGGCGAACCTCTTTGGCACCAAGTGCCCAAACCAGAATGCGTGTGCATGTGCGCGCGCAAAAAGCACTGGAAACCCAGTTTTTAAGCTTTTTTGGCCATTTTTCGGGCCGTTTTCAGGCTGTTTTTTGGGCCTGTTTTTTTGCCATTTTCTGCTGGTGCACGTGTGCGCACCGTAAACCAGAATAGCAGCTGGCAACAGTGCACATGCCCACAGAGAGTGTGCCATAGGTTTGCCATCATGGCCCTATACATTTGAACATAACTGACCATGTATATTAGAAAAGGATACCCTGAGGTGAGTTTAAGTGGTCTTCCCATTTCACTTGCTTTGAAATGTGACACGCTCCCTTGCACCCTTAAATCTGATCCCCTGCTGGGTCTTTTAGAAAACTTGAGACTCTCTTGCCAAAATAATAATAGGCTGGGGATGATGGGCTATCAAAATGTAGCTTCCCATTGGTTGGGTGAGAATGTTTGGATGCAGCTGATGGGCCATTAAATAGCCAATTACAGTAGGTAGTCCTCCAATTACAACTATTCATTTAGTGACTCTTCAAAGTTACTACGGCTCTGAAAAATGTGACTTATGATCATTGCAGCATCCTGAGGGTCATATAATCAACAACCGGACACTTGGCAACTGGCATGTATTTATGATGGTTGCCAAGGATCATCCATGTGATCCTTTTTGGCACCTTTTGACAAGCAAAGTCAATAGCGAAGCCAGATTCACTTTATATCCACACTGCTAACTTAACAACTGCAGTGATTCATTTAACAACTGCGTAAGAAAGTTCAACAATGGGAAAAAACTCACTGCCTCGCTTAGCATTGAAAACTTTTGGGTTCAGTTGTGGTTGTAAGTCCAGAACTATCTGTATTAGTGGTAGTTCTGTGTCTTTTTTTATCTGGCCTTTTTGTTGTTGTTGGTTAGCAAGAAAAAACCCCTTTCTCCCCATAATCGTAATGTTTAAAATATAGGTTGGGAACAAAATAAGATGGATCAAAAGAGAAAACAGAATTTGCCAAGAAGTCCTAAGGAGTAAAATGTTATACTGTCTATTATCGGTAAGGATTTAAACCAAGCTGATCAGATCATTTTAAAAAAAAAAGGGGACTTGAATACAAGCTCACCAACACTGAGCCTGCCCTTTGCTTTTGCAGTAGTAGAAGTTGTGATTCTAACTGAGAAAATGCCAGTCTGTGCCACAATCGCTGGGTTGTGGGCACCCTCGACTCTGCGCCAGCTGCATCCCTCTGGGTGGCATTTTCCTTTTCTCATGGTGGGCCTAAGCAGAGAACAATGTGCCTCTCTTGCAGAGCCGAGGGGGCGGATGCAACTGGCATCCCAACTTTCCGGAGAAGAATGCAGAACGGATGGGTCAGGCAGATGGTCAAAGCAAACAGCCACAGGCATGGACAATCCGTAAACCTGCCCCATCACTCCTCTCCTAAACCAGGAAGCTGCATAAATTTCATGCAGTGCTTCTCAATCTCAACAACTTTAAGATGTGTGGACTTCAACTCCCAGGCTTCCCCAGTCAGTTATGCTAAACTCTTAAGCTGGCTGGAGAATTCTGGGCGTTGAAGTCCACACATCTTAATGTTGCTGAAATTGAGAAACATGGATGTAGATTATTTGGACAGGTGGCAGGATGCCTCAGTCCCTAGGCAGGAGTGGTGGGAGGGGAGGCTCTGAGCTAGGAATCCTGTCAGTGGCTTCTTCTGCCAAAAGTTAAAAGAATCTAGTTCAGTGTTTCTCAACCTTGGCAACTTTAAGTCCTGTGGACTTCAACTCCCAGAATTCCCCAGCCAGCAAGTCACCAAGGTTGAGAAACACTGATCTAGTTTATTTCTGGTATTTTGGGGACACACCCACCCTACTTTCTCAGCAGTAAAAGAGAGAGAAGCGGTTTGCAGCTGACTCGTGCCAAGTTTTTTTCCTCCCCTTTCCAGTCTAGTTTTGGGATTTCCTTGTGGTCACCCATCCATCCAAATCCAATTGCACTCAACTGTTTGAAGAAAAAGCCCAAAGTGCTGTTCCCACCCGGGGCTCTTTTCTGCCAAGGGCTACTCCGAATCCAGCCACCCCACCCCCTTTTGGAATTGCGACCCAGTTTCCCGGCTGAGCTGCTATAAAGGAAGTTGCTGTGCCCAGCCTAGCTGTGAAAAGGCGAAACCTCGTCCGGAGCCTCGTGTTTAGATGCAGCCAAACAAGACGCACCCTGTAATGTAATCCCCCCTTTTATTAATGGGTGCCACCTTCCTCTGGGTCGCATGCCGGCCCTTTCCCTCCAAACCACTTTTATTCCCCCTCCCCGCTTTGCCCCGTTTCCCCAGATCGTTATTCTTTTATTTTTCATTCAGCTTTCTTCCCAACTTCCGACCCTGTTCGGAAACCCACCGGCCTCCTTCGAAGCTGCCTTCTCCGCATTCTCGCTGGGCGGAGTGCCCGAGGGGAAGCGGGGTGGGGGGGCGAGAGAAAGGAGGAAATAAATCCTGGTTTTTACCCCCTCGGACCCAACCTTATGACGGCCCCCTTTTTTCCCGGCTGCTGCCATCCTTAAGCAGAAAAGTCTCCTGAATGCATGCGATTCCTATTTCCCTGCAGGCCGGGGAGGATAGTCATTGTAGAAGTCCCCTTGGTCTGCGGGCGCCAGGTTGGAGCCCGTTACATGCATGCAGGCATTTTAACGCTGGAAGAGGGAGAGATGCGGCTGAACTATGCACGTCGGAATGAATAAATGTATCATTTTTTTAAAAATATGATCTGTATCTTTAACCCCGGCGCGCGGGGATACATACACATCCATATAGATAGATGGATAGATGGATGGATGGATGGATGGATAGATAAGATAGATACAGATATATAGAGAGATATAGATACATACACAGACACTCCCCCTCCCCGAAGGTGGCGGACCCTCCTCCAAGCCCATCCCTCTCTTTATTCTCTCCCCTCTTGTGGCCCCGCCCAGCTCCCGGCCGCCGTCGCTAAGCACCGCCCATTATAACACAAGGTGCCGCCCCTTACAAGGCAGGCTCCGCCCTCTCGCTCTCCCTCCGCCTGGTTCGAATGTTCCTTTGGTGTTCCAGCCGGGAAGCTGCGGCCGTAGGAGGTGACGAGGAAGGAAGGAAGGCGCAGGGCTGCGAGGACCTGCCGGTCATCTGATCCCAGCCAGAGCCGCGTCCAGCAGGGGGACGAGGAAGGCAGGCAGGCAGTCTTCGTCCACCACAGCCACGCCACCCACGGGAGACCCGCCTAACCCTGGCAGCTGATTCAGCGTTGAGCTCCTTGGCTCCCGTCGCAATGCCTCCTGCAGGCCGCCTTGCGCCCGGCTCTCCTCCTCGCCTCTTTCATTGATTCGTGCAGCGGCTATTTTTTATTACCTCCTCCCTCCCTCCGACCTTTTCCCCCTCCTTCTCTCTCTTGGCTTCTTTTCTTGGGGGAAAAAAGAAAGTAGTTAACTTTGCGATATCTTCTTCCTCTTGGCCAAACCCTTTTAGGGAAACTCCCAGCCTCCTTCCCTCCGACCTCGGTTGGATCTTCTGATTCCCCCACCCAACCCCTCGGTTTCTCCTTTCGATGCTGTACGTTTATTTCCTGGAGCCAAGACGATCTCTTTTTTTTGGAATGGGGATCTAAATTCTCGCCTCATTCCTTTAAACCACCACTTGCCTTCCTGTCCTGCTTTCGTTTTTAACAGTCAGGATCATCCTTTTTAAAGGAATCGAATCGTTCTCTTTTTAAAGGCTGGGATTAAAAGACTGGAGAAAGAAGAAGAAAACACGCTTCTTCCTCTCCCTGCCTTTTTTCCTCCCTTTTTGTTTTGTTCCCAGTTAACTATATTTTCTACACGGCACTGCTTTTTGGTAAGCCAGGAATTTGGGAGAAATCTCTTCCCTCCCTATTGGCTCAGAACCGTTTAACCATTTCTGTCTGCTTCCCTTCCCACGAAAAGGGAAGCCAAAAAACTGTGATTCCGGTATTGGAGGACAAAACGCCAGAACAATCAACTTACATCCTACAGTTGTTTGGCAGAAGAAGAAACTGCTTTCCAACCCACAAACTGGGCTGTATTCCTCTGTCATTTGACCCCCAAGGGAAGAGGTGGAAAAAACATTTGGAAGGAAAAGGAAAAAAAGTTTTGACATCTTGGGGCTAAGTTACAAACATTTCCATGTTCTTTACGGTAAGTTTTTGGAGGAAAAGACAGTGAATCTTCACGGATTGACTCAGCTGCCGCCCTTGGAAATTGTTGGCAATCTTCGGATGTTGTTTGGCCTCAGCGAGCTGCAATGGGTCTGTGAAGCCAATCCTGTGGGAAGTTTGAGGAAAAGCCCTCCAGGGAAAAACCGAGTGTGAGATACAGCAGTGACAGAAGCTGTCCCAGCACCGTGAATGGCTGCCAAGGATTATGACCACTTGTTTAAATTGCTTATCATCGGAGATTCGGGTAAGAGTGTTTGTTTTTTCATTGTCATCCCTCTTCAATCTTATCTAACTCTGTCCTTCTGCATTTGTTAGATTTTTATCCTGCTTTGATTACTTTGTAAGTAACTCAAGGCAGAGAATGTCCACAATACAGGTAGTCCTCGACTTACAGCAGTTCATTTAGTGATGGTACGAAGTTACAATGGCAGTGGCATGACTTAACAATAGCAGCCCCATGGTCACGTGATCAAAATTCAGATGATTGGCAACTGATTCATATTTATGATACAGCGTCCTGGGGTCACATGATCCCCTTTTGTGACCTTCTGACAAGCAGAATCAAAGAGGGAAGCCAAGTTCACTTAACATCTGTGTTATTAATTTAACAACTGCAGTGATTCACTTAATCACTCTGGCAAGAAAGGTTGTAAGATGGGGCAAAACTCACTTAGCAAATGTTTCACTTAGCAACAAACATTTTGGGTTCAATTATGGTTGTAAGTTGAGGACTACTTCTTCTCTTTTTTCCCCTCCTCTTCTTTCCCCTCAACAACAACCCTGTGAGGTAGGTTGGGCCAAAGTTACTTTACTCAAGCTGTCATGCCTAAGGCAGAAGTAGAATTCATATTCTCCTGATTTCTAGGCCAGCACCTTAACCGCTGCACCAAACTGCCTCTTCCTGATCCCCCCTTCTCAACCATTATTTCAATTGTTTTGCTGTCTTTTTTGTGAATTTTCAGATTTCCTAACACTTTTCATGCTAGATTTGCCTGTTATCCTTTTGCCATTTTCATTCTGAACACTTAGCCTGGTTCTTTCAAATTTTTCTCCCTTCCTAGAGTTTTTATGTTAATCTTCCATCTTCTTCCTCCAGTTCATTGTGAGCATATGGGATGGGCTGAATTCTTCCCTCCCTCCATGTATAATCTCCTTACCTGTCCTTTATTCTTGTTCTTTTGTTCTTCCCCACCCTTTTTTCTCACTTTTATTCCTGCAAATATCCCTGGGCAAAATGAAGATCTGCATAACTCTGAGAAGAAATCATTGGACCTACAATCTCCTTATCTTTATTCCTCAATTCTAGTTCTCTTCTTGTCCCATACTACTATTCAGGAGCTCTAATTCTCTATAGCAGTGTTTCCCAACCTTGGCATCTTTAAGATGTCTGGACTTCAATTCCCAGAATTTCCCTCCTTGCACGAAATTCTGTGAGTTGAAGCCCAAACAGGGCTGGGTTCCTGCCAGTTCTAACCTCTTCTATAGAAGATGTTCCACAAATCTACAGTGCCATTTAGAACCGGTTCCAGCTCCCTCCCCCCACCCCCCCGCACATGATCAAGGTGAAGAGCGAGAGGAGGAATTCTGGGAGTTGAAGTCCACAAGTCTTAAAGCTGTCAACTAACTTGACAGCTTTAAGACTTGCGTGCTTCAAATGCCAGAGTTTCTGAGCCAACATTTTGGTTGCTAAGCAAGAGCATTGTTAAGTGAGTTTCACCACATTTTATAAGTTGGCAACCCCCCCCCAGTCATAGGGCCGGCAAGCCACTCCCCCCCAGTCACATGGCCGGCAAGCCACTCCCC